GACTGGGAGGTGTGTGAGCTGCTTCTTCCGTACCTGTTCAATTAACACTGGCCCGAACTCTCATGGCATCTCATTAGTTCATTTCACTAGGCATAGGGAAGAGAATTTCCAAAAGGGGAAAACGGGAGTGTGAAAAATACAACTTCTAAAAATATTGTCCCTGGGGAAGCCATTGATTAAAGACACCCTGACAAAAATGCTTCTAATGAGAAAAGAGCAACTTTTGTTGTAATGGACCAAGAAGGGACTGGAGAAGTCAGCACATTAAGCTGCTCATTACCACTTACTCGGGGGATGGTGCAGGGTGAAGAAAAAAGTCCAGTGGGGTGTGAAATTCCACCTAGGAGGGGCACTGCCTGTGGTGGGACTGACACAGCTTCCTGCTCTAGGACCCTTGGGTTAGTCAGGGTGCTTCAGTCAATGGTATTCTACTGGGGACTTGGGGAAGGGGGGGGTCAGGAAAATTTGCTCCATGCTGCGGTTTCTTGGTACAAACCCTGAAAGTGGTATTCAAGGTCAGAAACTGGGTAATGATAGAAAAATTTTAAAAAGACTCAGTTCCTTATTTCTAGTCTCACTAAGAAGTCTTTTGTCAGGAAAATTTGCTCCATGCTGCGGTTTCTTGGTACAAACCCTGAAAGTGGTATTCAAGGTCAGAAACTGGGTCATGATAGAAAAATTTTAAAAAGACTCAGTTCCTTATTTCTAGTCTCACTAAGAAGTCTTTTGTTCATAGACAGCTGTAGAAATTCTCCCCTAGGAAATGATCAAGGATGAAGCCACCCTTGCTTTGACTCTCAAAGGACCTGTGTACTGGGCTGGGTATTAGCATGAAGGTCCATGCATTGTGCAAAAAGTTTACAAGGAGATTGGAGAGGAGGAGAAGAAAGGCTAGAAGAGGATGGTATTTTCTTCCCATTTCTTTCCAGACTGCTTATTAATAGATGATCTGGGCGTGATCTGTTTTCTCACTCAGCAGCCCAATATGACAATATCATCAGCATCGCATCCCTGTAATGGTATTAATCAGCCTTCCACACCTTCCACACCAGGACACAAAGGGGAGCGTCCAGGAAGATGTAGGGAGCAGTGCCATGTTTCAGGATAAACTCTGAAGGGGGTCTTCGGCAGTTCACTTTCTGACTTCTTGGTTGTCCTTTTGAGGCTTAGACTTTGGGATACAGTCCTTGATCTGACAAGCACCCAACCATTCTGACAAATTGCTGAAGGCACCTCCATTCTTTAAACAAAAACCTCCTGGACTCAGCCCCATCCAGCGCACATACCGAGAGACTCTGCACAGAGCGCCACAGACCACGTGGCACATCATAGCCTCTGACTGTCCCGTGGCTGGGCAGTGGTGCAGGGGCTGGGGCACCCTGGCCCAGCATGTGCAGGCTCCCCAGGACATTCCTAGTGCCCACCACAGCCACGCTCTTTGAGGCTGCCTCAGAAAAGCCAACATGCCAGCCGGCAAGAGGAAAATGCTTGTTTTTCAAACCGAACAATTGTAAATTAGCAAATACAACAACAGGAAAAGAAAGGTTCTTATGCTAAACATGCAAATATATTTGACCTGAAAGCTGAAGGAGGAATGGCATGGGGATAATTTTAGGAACTGTTTGTTCCAAGAATGTCACCCCCATGGAAAGAAACATGATGGAATGGAGATCAGGCCTCGTCAGCATTTTTTCTCATAATGGTCACACACACAGTTTGTAGGAAAACATGAGACTTAAGGCAATGGTTTCAGCTTTTCTCCCACCAAGGGCCCCTTTTTCTTGTTTTCTCTCATGAATTCCATGTTTTGAAAGACTTTTGTCCCCCATCCTGTACTTTTTACTGTATTTCCTCAGTTCTAGGAAACAGTAATTTGGGGAATCACCTATGGATTTAAAGAAGACGCTTCACACACAAAAAGAAATAATACATACCAAAACATACATACCTATTTTAAGATGCATCTCAATTTCAGAATCATTAATATGTTAAAAAAAAAAAAAAAGGATGCTGTAAGAGCAAGGAAATAGGCAACCTATATGGTCCCTCTAGAATAAATGCACAATTTCTGATAAACTTTTAAAAATAGTCTACAGAACTTTCTAAGGCTGGAGAACCACAGGCTGCCTTGGAAGACAGAGAGCTGCATCTTTCACCTTCCACAGGACCGGGATGGGAGTCCAGAGGGCTCGGATGAATATGCGGAAATCCCACTGAGGGGTGGGGTGCATTCTAACTCAAGGCTATCATTTCCAGAGTTTGAAAATGATGATTCCCTCCTCCCACTACACTGCTGGAATCTTCTTTTTTCTAGATGAGAAGGCACCTTGATATGAGAATGTAAAGGGAAAAAGCCTGCAGTGTGGACTGGCCCCTTTCTCTGAGACTACCCCCAACCCCCTCCCAGCAGTTAGAGAGTTCCATCCCTTGTCTGAAAAGCATGAAAAACAGAACACAAAAGGCCCAGCTTTGCCTTGAGGCCACAACTCATTTTCCATTAAGTGAAAGTGCGTGTGATAGCACCAAGAGGGAGCCCAGACGAGGTGAGGAGGGAGCAGAGAGGAACCCCCACTCCCGCAACAGAGCCTCTGGAAGCCTGAGCCACATGCACACCAGGACCTGGTGGGAGGAATGCGAGGCTGGGTCCCGGCTCCCCAGGAGCATCTCCAGCCTTACCTTTCCTACAGCAATAAGACATACCCAACAGCTTCTTCCCAATCCAGTCACATAAAGGTGCTTAATAACATAAATTCCTCCCATCCCAAGTCGGACGAGCTAACGATCTACAAGATTAATGATCTGTGAAGCAGATGGCTGCAGCCACAGTACGAAAAGAAGAGAAGCTCCCACGACGAATTCAAGGCAGAGTCTAACGTGAAAACGCCATACCCTCCTGCCCGGCCAAAGGAGCTCACAAACTGAGCAGCCAGCCCAGGTTCTGGGATCAGGAAGGCTGCAGGGAGGTGGCATGTAGGTGGGGGACCAAATGCTCTATATGCAGCACAGGCAGCATGAAACTCAGAGAAGACCTGGACTTGAAACCCAGTGGCTTCAGCAAGTCCCCTCCTCATCGGTAAAGTGGACATGCTGCCCTTACCCTGGGGGTCACTGACAGGGTTAGAGGAGATGCTGCACATGCAAAGTGCCCGTCTGTGCGTGAGCACTCACTGGTGGGCACATGCAAAGACAGCGTGAGCATTTCTACACTAAAAATGAGGATGTCTGGTCTGACATCGAACCAGGTATTTAAGGTGATGTCACACTACATCAGGATGATTCAAGAATTCCTCAATTGTCCCACAGGGCTCAGCTCCAACCTCTTGTCCTCTGGGATTCCTTCTCCATCTCAGGGACTAAATCTGGCCTTTCAAACACACACACTTGGTAATGTTTATCCTGCCCCTGCTGTCCGCCCCTTGGGAGGTGGATGTAGCTTTAGGGCTAAAACATGCAGACTGGAACAAGGTCCATAAACAAAGTGGTTAGAATCTCAGATTCCCACTCCCCTTTCAGATGTATTTTCTGCAAAAAGGGAACCAGGACTCCAGAACACCAACCTGGTGGGAAAGGAGGTGGAGGAGGGGGTATGACCCCAGAGTGAAAACGGGGGGTCACCTATGTATACTGAGTGGTGGGACCTCCTTCCCTGCCACCACCCTGGCTCATGCTCCTTCCTGCCTCTGGCACCTGGGCTGCCAAAGACCTCTCCCTTAATATCCCTGCATATTGAAGGATTTGTCTCTGGAGAGGCTGAAGAGGGACAGAGGCAACCCAGCACACACAGATGGGGGGTCTCCCGTTACAAGTGCCAGTTTCCTGCTGCATCACCCTTGTATGCAGCCCACCGGACACAGAGGCCACCCACCCCACAGAGCTCCAACCCATGAGCCAGTGCCTCGCTCCTAAGTATCAACCTCCAACGACGGGGGGTCTCCCGTTACAAGTGCCAGTTTCCTGCTGCATCACCCTTGTATGCAGCCCACCGGACACAGAGGCCACCCCACAGAGCTCCAACCCATGAGCCAGTGCCTCGCTCCTAAGTATCAACCTCCAACGAAGGATCACCAGGCAGTGGAGAGAGTCTCAAACATGAAAGAGGGCCCAGAATAGAAAAAAGGAAACTTTAAGGTAGCACAGATAATAGGAGGAAACAGTGAAATCTAAGGAAGACACAACCAAGCCTATAATTAAAATCCTCAGAGGGATAAGAGAATATATTGCATCCACCAAACAAGAACAAAATAATGTGAAAACTTTTTAAAAAAAGGAATACTTTGAGAACAATAAAAAAAGCTTAGAAATTAAAAAGTCATAGCTAAAATTTTAAAAGCTCAAAAAAAAAAAATACTGGAAGAGAATGTTAAGGAACTCTTCCAGAAGGTAAAATACAAAGATGAAGAGATAAACTATAGAAAAGAAAAACTGAAGGATCAATGCAAGATCCAACTAACAAAAGTTCCAGAAAGAAATTTTAAAATAAACAATGCAGGGGAGGGTGGGCCTCTGTACTGAAGAGGTCCTAAGCATCCTAACACAGTGAGTGAAAAAGACCCACCTCAACCAAATTTGGGATAAAGAAACGACCTTAAAAACTTGCAGAGAGAAGTAACAGGTCACATATACAGGAATGGGAATCAGAAAGCATCAGACTTCTCAATCACAACACTGGAAACGA